CTAACTTTGGACTCCCATTGAGACGTTTTCAAAGTCTTTATAAATAAAAACCCTGCTAATACAAATATTTGAATACGCCCTTAGAGATACATCTATATAATATACATATGGAATACAAGGCTGTGTGTGTATATATCTCTTCTCAAGTTTCCACTCGAGCGAGCCATTTTAATTAGGCAAATCAACACGCCGAAGAAGTTGAAACTGAGATTTCCATTGAAATGGCGACCGTTTGACGGAACTTGACACTTGGCTGGACATCTTGGCATGTTGGCAGCCGGATGTTGAACTTTAAGGATGCCACTTAAAGTACAAGTGAGGGGGAGTAAGTGCATACATATGTACATGCACCCTGTGTACCATAAATAGCCCGCATCCGGCTTGTTCAATTTGCGGCTACATGAAAAAGGCAAGGCCCCCGAAACTCGACCCTTTCCGTTTCCGGTTTCAGTCCGTTCCCGTTCCCGTTCCGTTCCTCTTGCCATGCTACTCGCTTAATTTGATTTCTGGCCGGAGGGAACGTGGTCGGCGATGAAATTAGCACCGCCTCCGCCTCCACTTTGCATAATAACCCGGACAGGACAGGATAGGATAGGACAGGACACGACAGGACAGGACACGACAGAACAGGACAGGACAGGAAAGGAAGGGGAGCCCGGGACTCGACCGGACCGTGAGCAATTCAATTAAATCGCTCGTCGTTTTAAAACCAAATAAAAATCCAAATAAAAATCAAAATTAAATTCATGCCGACAGAGTTTCGGGGACACGGACACCGAGCACCGAGCAGGAGTCCGAATCGGAATCGGACACGGATCCGGATGGAATGGAGCATTCCAATTGGCATTTCAATTTGATTTGCCGGCCAGCCATCGCCGAGAGCGGTGTTTTTAATGTGCAAATCGTTTGAATTGTTCGAATCAATTAAATTTCTGGCCACGCATCGCCAGCCGTTTTTGGCTTTAGTGAGCTATTTTGATTTATTTAATATTGCTTTTGTCGCTTGTTGTTTTTTGGCTGCCTTTTTCCCGGAATTAATAAAAATTAATTGAATCAAAAGCTTGCACTGATCGAAGCGTATAAATTCGAGATAAAGTTAATTCCCGGGAAGCCATTAGAGGCCAATATATTTATGTATGTTGTGGGAGGTTATATATATATATGTTACATATTAAATTCAATTAGGAGCTATGACCATACCATAGACGAGTCACCAGTGACCAGTGGCCCGTGAATTCAACGAAATTCACGGCAGGCCATCAATCAATCAGTTAGTCAATCACTCAGTGCAGCGTGCCAAAAATCAATCTGTCGCACTAATTTCATCAATTTAAGCGCAGTTAAAATGCATTTATTTTTTGCCCTTCTGCCAGTCAACGAGTCTCATTGCATTTTGCATCAATTGTAAGTGATCGAATTCAGGTTATTGGCATTCTAAGGGTGAGGCTTGATACCCTAGCTATTTTTGCTTTTTATACCCTTTCAGGGTATTCTACTCTTAGTTAGAAGCTTGCGAAATAGTGAAGGAGTCATTTCCGACCCCATAAATCATATATATTAGCATCACCAGACGAATCGATCCAGCTATCTCCCACAAAAATTTAATTTTTTTTTAAATTTCTCAATTTTTTATGGGTTAAAATTGTGAAAATTGAATATGAAAAATTGATAAAAAATTGAATTTCCTGAAATTCTAAATGGAGTATGCAGATTTATTAATCTGGTAAAAACTAGCATAGGACAGCTTACCGAATTAAAATTAATTAATTTTTGGCTAAGTTATGAGTTTTTAAGTTTTTAATATATCGATAAAATTGTCATATAAAAAAATAGATAAAATCGGGTCAAAAAATGGTATTATAATTTCAGTCAGAAGCTTAAAAAATATGGAAGGAGTCATTTCCGACCCTATAAATCATATATATTCGTGATCAGTAAGAAAAACTGAGTCGATCTAGCTATCTTCGACAAAAATTTAATTTTTTCAACATTTTCACAATTTTTGAAGGGGTAAAATATTGAAAATTAAATATTGAAAAATTGATAAAAATTTGAATTTCCTGAAATTCTAAATGGAGTATGCAGATTTATTAATCTGGTAAAAACTAGCATAGGACAGCTTACCGAATTAAAATTAATTAATTTTTGGCTAAGTTATGAGTTTTTAAGTTTTTAATATATCGATAAAATTGTCATATAAAAAAATAGATAAAATCGGGTCAAAAAATGGTATTATAATTTCAGTCAGAAGCTTAAAAAATATGGAAGGAGTCATTTCCGACCCTATAAATCATATATATTCGTGATCAGTAAGAAAAACTGAGTCGATCTAGCTATCTTCGACAAAAATTTAATTTTTTCAACATTTTCACAATTTTTGAAGGGGTAAAATATTGAAAATTAAATATTGAAAAATTGATAAAAATTTGAATTTCCTGAAATTCTAAATGGAGTATGCAGATTTATTAATCTGGTAAAAACTAGCATACGACAGCTTACCGAATTAAAATTAATTAATTTTTGGCTAAGTTATGAGTTTTTTAATTTTAATATATCGATAAAATTGTCGTATAAAAAAATAGATAAAATCGGGTCAAAAAATGGTATTATAATTTTAATCAGAAGCTTAAAAAATATGGAAGGAGTCATTTCCGACCCTATAAATCATATATATTCGTGATCAGTATGAAAAACTGAGTCGAACTAGCTATCTCCGACAAAAATTTAATTTTTTCAACATTTTCACAATTTTTGAAGGGGTTGAAAATTGAAAATTAAATATTGAAAAATTGATAAAAATTTGAATTTCCTGAAATTCTAAATGGAGTATGCAGATTTATTAATCTAGTAAAAACTAACATAAGAAACATTTTTGGCCTAGTTATGGCATTTGAAAATCTTTGATTTACCCAATTATTAAATTAAATTAACATATGAAAATAGTGATTTAATATATCTAGAATATACATATTTTACGTTTTCTGTGAAGTATACAACATATATGTATATTTCTCTTTGCATTCTAAATAATAATCAACATAGAATAAAACATTTCCACTTGTTTCATGTTTGTAAAATGCTTTCCCTTTGCATTGTGGGGTATCCAAGCTTCGTTTGGAAAGTATTTCTTTGGTCGCCACCAATCTGTCAGTCGTTATCCTGTTTTTTGATTAATGATCTGTGTCCCAGCTTTGAATTTCCCTCCCCGGTTGCCTGGCTTTTCCGTTCCGCTCACCGTTCCGGGAGGGGGGGAAGGAGGGAGGGAGAGACCATTAGCCTTGGTTTTGGGCCCGTCCAAATGTCAATTTCATTTTGAGCCGCCCTGCGGCTTGAATAAATTGTATCCAGTTCGTCGATTGCACTGATTGCAGCGTGCTTTGGCTTTGCTGCTGTTTTGTTCGAGGGGGGAAAACGGTGAAGGGAATTGGGGCTCAACAAATTGCATAATGCCAACCGAAATGTAAAATTATGGCGATAGCCGGAGCCCCCTCTCTCCACCCCTTCCAAATGAACCACAACCAACGAGGGGTGCTGCTCCTGCTCCTGCTCCTCCTGGTGATGCTGATGCTGTGTGCGGGTTAATTTGATTTTAATTATGAACGAGGACGCGACCAGCAGCAGCAGCAGCAGCAGGCTCGTTTCCCTGTTTGCGGTTAATCAACTGTCCATGGCATAAATATTTTGATTGCCACAAATGCGCCAATGGCCAAAGCCGAGGCCTTTGCCCCTGCCTTTGCCTTTGACAGGACCAACAGCACCGCATACCAACCACATCGAGCCTCGAGTACTTTGGCCCCGAAAATGAGGCGCCATCGTTGCCGCAGAAAATGACAATTAAAAATAATTTCAAATGCAGACGGGAGTGCCGGAGGGCAGGGAGTCATAGATGGGAGCTCCATCTCAAGAGCAGCAGTGCATTTCATTAAAATTTCAAGTCGACTCAACTTTCAAGCACCACACACACACAGGAGGACAGCACTTGACAACAAGAGCCGCCACCACCACCACCATCAGATCCGGATGCCTGGGCCCAGGTTGGTTGGTCCTGGTCCTGGTCCTGGTCCTGGTCTTCTGCCACTTCTATCCTCGCCAGTGCACACTCCACACTCAAAGTCCGCTCGGAAGCGCCATTTAAAATTAGTGAAAAGTTAAAGCCAGAACGGAACGAGCAGACAACATGAGCTGCCCCGCAATTAAGTGGAAGCGAAGCCGAGGAGAGTCCTCACGACGAGGAACGGGCTGAGGGATACCCTGGAAGCTGACGTGAAAACCAGTAACAAGAGGGAAATAACTAAAAGCTGTACGTATTTTCTCTCATAAAATGTATAAAATACAAATGCAATTGAAAGCATATGCAAGTGCTTACCAGGACACATAACGTACCTACCCGAAGCATCCTTGTTGTGGCATCTGCAGGATAGCAGATCCTGGATGGCTGTAGGTGCTGCAGATGTGGGCGATAGCGATTGTAGCCATCGTTGGCCTCGACTGAAATTCAAAACGTCCAGCCAAGTGCTGAGCTGCCATTCCGGCAGCTCCTCCCTCTGGATCCTTTCGCCATTTTCACTCCCTTCCTTCGTTCCTTCCGCATTGCAGTCATAGTTTTGGGGAAAGCCAGAGCATCTAGCGAAGGGTCAAGCGATGGGGGACGGAGCCATCGAAGACACAAAATTAAAAAATTCCAACAAGAAAAAACCCCAAACCCAAAGAGACCAAGGAAAATGCATTCGATTGACTTTGCTTTCGTGTGTATTTCTCATTTTGTTTCGGTTGCAATCTTTCTTAATATTGAATTTCATTTATCATTTATCGTTTGTTATCGATTTTCTGTATCGGGTTATGCTCAGCTCTTGCCGTTTGCCTCGCCTAGTTACCAGCTATCGCTAATCGTTAATCGCTCAGCGCTCAGCGTCTATCGTTTATCGCTTCTCGCTTGCCTTTTGCTTTGAGCGTTCCATTGCTGTTTGTTTTGCTTCGTTTCGTTTTGCCTTTTTCGGGTTTCATTTTCTATTTTGTTTCTTTTCCAGTAAACGCACTCACACACACATATTCAGTTTAAGTTAAGTTTTTCTCATTTTCGTTTAATAATAACTTAAGGTTAAATAACAATCACATTTACTTATTTTCTTTTTGTTTTCGTTCGACCCAAAAAAAAAAGTTCTGCACACCTTTCCTAACCTTTATATTTGATTACGAGTAGTATAAGAGTTGTTTATTCATTATTTCTTTATAGTTATTAATATTCATAATATTATTTCCCATTGGCATCCCCTCTCTCTCTATATCTCGTGTGTTCGCGGGGCTAAAATTGTCAATAAACAATTGGAACAAACGTGAACGAAAACAACAAAACAGTGGTTAATCGTTAGTCAGGGATTATAATCCACCTATAAACGTACGCGTGCCGCCCGTATATCGGAGTTATCGGAGTAATCGAAGTAATCGGGGGCGCTGGATAATTCCTACTACTTACAAATACGCGCTACTTGCAGTGCACGGTTTTTTCTGACTATTTTTGTATTTTTTGTTGTTGTTTTTTTTAATTCTAAGAGAGTTAAGTTTGTTCTATGCTTTATCAATTGGTGTATGTATACTATATATACCTATATATATATAGGGGTATATATATAGATGTATATATGTATTTAATGTGTGGGTCAAGTATACGGAAATATTTTCTGTTGTTTGTTTTTAGCATTTTTTAACATATTTTACCAATCGCTTAGGTCTATCGTTAGCCTGGGAGCTCGTGTCCCCACACACAAGAAAAATATATGTATAATATATATATATTGACTAGAACTATTACTATTTCTTTGAGTTTTACGGTTTAAAAGGTTACATATACATATATGTATATATATGTTATATGTTCTGCTGTAATCACCATATTGGCATTGTATAAATTGTTCGTTTCATCTTGTAAATTGTGTTTCTTTTTGGCTTGCTACAAAAGTTCGGCACATTTGATTTTGTCATGTTGTGAATGTGTTTGTAATATTTGCGAAATATCGATAGTCGCCATTAACGACTATTATTTATTATTATATGAGTGTGCTTGATCCAAATCAGGGTTTATTTCTTGTCCAGGGAAAAGTTTTGTTCTTCCAAAAAAAAAATCGAAAATTTCTCACTGAAAATATACTTTTTACGAACTGAACAACTGGAAATTGGCCATATTCGATTTAACCTTTGAAACCCACTTATTCTGTGCCAATTAACCCTCCCTCGGAATGTCCGGACAAAGGACAAAGGACACACTCTTGGATGTTATTCAATGTCCATAGATTTTCGTTACAATTATTCTCCTTCTGCATGTTTTCTTTTCTTTTTTTGGCTTTGTTGTGTGTAAATAATTATCCTAATTAATTATGCATTATTACATATAACTGTCTGTTGGATTTAATCGTATTACTGTTACTATTTCTCGTTACTCTTTACTTTAACTCGTTACTCGTTACTTGCCTCGGTTACTTGTGTTACTCTTTACTGTTACTATTACTCGTTACTCGTTAGTTTTAATGGTTGTTATAGACATTGAAGTACTCGTTATTAGATGGTTGATGCAGGTGGGGAGAGGCTGCCAGCCGCAATAGACAGTAAACAATTAAATATATTATTAATCGCATTAATCGCTCTTTAATTGTAATTATTATTATATTACTTGTATCTCGATATATTTGGAAAATCAACAAACAGTAAGTGGAAAAAGTTTCTGCTCAGTGTTGTGTATGTTTATAATATTTTTCTCTTCGTTCGTCTTGTGGTATCAGTGGTATGTATCAGTGACCCCTTTGAGTCCTATTGATACGGATTGAGAAAAAAGGACCACTTCTCGCTCACCTTTCACTGGCCGCCATTCTTAACTGCCATTCACATCGACCATGGAATGCATCCCGTTGCTCAGCCCATTCCCATTGCCATAGATCCCGCTCTGCGGCGGCGGAGGCGAAGCTGGAGGCGATGCTGGTGGAGTCAAGGTGGCCGGCTCCTCGGCCTCCACTTTGCCCAGTCCGTTGGCACTCCCATTGCTCAGAATGGCCTTCTCCTCCTCCACTGCTGACTTGGTGCCGAGATGGTGCTCCTGTGCAGGTGGCGGCGGTGGCGGAGGCAGGCTGTCCAACTGATTGGACTCCAGCAGCGAGTAGTCGCCGAGCTCTGAGTTGATCTCGTCCGTGGATGGTGGCGCCGGCAGGCTCATCAGGCTGTCATAGTTGCCTTCGGGCTCTGTATAGACGACATCTGGTGTTGATTCTGACTCTGCCTCTGGCTCTGGTTCCTCCCGAGTCTCCTTAGTGGGCTCATCTTTGACCTCCGGCTGTGTGTCTGCATTTTCCGGAAGGTCAAGTGGCTTTTCCGGCAGTTCTGATGAGGCCTTTTCTGGAGGAATCTCCAAGCTACTTTCTGCTGGCTCCAAGGGGGCCTCCTTCTGTGGCGGATTCTCTTTTTGCTCGGGCTCCTGCTCCAGCTCCTGTTCTTGCTCCTGCTCCTGCTCGGGCCTTGGGCTGGCCAGGATAGGCTGAGCCGTTGGCGAAGTGGTGGCATAGCCAGGCTGCTCGATGACATAGAGCTCCTGGTTGCCGTAGGAGTAACGCTTGTTGGAATCACCCGACGAGGTGGAGCTGAGGTCCGACTGCGAGAGGCCGGTGCAGGCACGGATCTCAGCTACAGGAGGTGCCTGCTCCTCGAGGGTCTGCTCCTCGGCCTCCTCGATGAGGTGCAACGGTGCAGCGGCATGGCCGCCGGCAAAGTCCTGCGGCGGAGCATGGATCTGCACCTGTTCGTGGCTCGGCGGCAACGAGTGCTCGTCCAGGAGATGGACCCCATTGCCGGTCATTTTGGTGTCGAAGGGCAACTCGGTGGCATCCAGTCCAGCGGCAGTTGAATCCGCAGGCTGCGTGGAACTGGAGTCGATGCCGCGGGCCACCTCCACGACAAAAACGCCGTCCTTGTCCGTGTGCATCTTGGTCTCCCGGGCGTTGCGCGAGATGTCCTGCAGGGAGGAGAGAGGAGCAGGCATTGAGAGGGAGATAGAAATGTAGATGGGGGATAACAGGTGTGTGCAGGTTAGCATGAGACAGGTGCTTGTACACACACGCACACAGGGACACACTCAGATAATTGGCTACGACAACAACATCAAGGATACAGGGATACAAGGATACAATAGAGAGAGAGAGAGAGAGAGAGAGAGAGAGAGGTGAGGGGAAAAGGAGGCGATAGAGCAGACAAGTGTCGAAAATTGAATTTGCATATACGCTTGAGGCTCTCACTCACACACGCACACGCACACACACACACACACACTCCTGGCACTCCTTACAAAGGCTAAGAGGAGTTCCCTCCTTCTCATTACCCAAAAATAATCAAAAACACATTAAATCAACCGAAAAACGACATAATCTGGGTGTGTGTTTAACTTTGAAAACAGTGCTTAATGGCTAAGGCTTAGATCTAGGTTCTAGGGCAGGTTTTAATCGCTAAAGGACACAAACAACAGCATTTTCCGGATGCAATTTCCCAAACAGAACCGCAGGCAGAAGGTGATGCAAAGATACACAGAGACAGGACAGAGACTAGGATGAGAGAGGAGAGATGGACAGGCAGCAAACTACGACAACATCCTGACGAGCGAAGAGACACCGAGTGGGACTAGGTACAAGGACACATCCAGCCAAGGACCTCGGCCCGATCGGATGACTAACGAACTTACGTGGCGCTCCTCGGTGACAACAATCAGATGATTATCTTTGAGAGTCATCTTGGTGACGGAGCCACTGGGAGCCACCTCGACACCACCATTCCCACTCTGAGCTCCATCTGGCTCGCCACCGAATCGAAACTGGAGGCACTCCAGAAAGCGGCCTTGACTGCCAAGGAGGGCTGCACCCGGGTGGGTGGCTCTACCGACTGTGGATGCCTCCGCGGACAGCCCGTCGACGTGGTGGTTGTGGCACTGGCGGATGCAAACGCAGCCCCAGATGATGACGAGGACGAAGGGGATAAGGAGGCGGCAGAGTACTGCAAGGAGACAGGGCAGGGCAGAGCCTTGGGTTCAGTATTCTAAAATAGGAATGCATCTCGCACACAAACACACACACAGCGTGGAACACACACTCTGGCACAGAAATTTCATTACCGGCAAAAGGGAATTCATTTAAATGTCAACTCAACTTGGGATTCAAATGGCGTTCAGAAGGATATGCACTTTAACGCTGAAGATGCATATTTCACATGTGTTAACCGAAACTTTAACCTTATCCTAAATAACTAAATTTATGAATTACGAGATTTCTAAGATAGATATTCGATATTTGATACATCCTATGATACCCTGGAAGAAGGGTATGATTATTATTTTACTCGGTAGCTTGCAACACAGTAAAGGAGTCATCTTAGGAGACCCTAGGTTAGGTTTTTGGTTTGACACAAGAGGTTCAAGGCTGACTAAATGCCAAAATTTAAGTTTTAAGTTGAAATATAAAATCAAAATAATATTTACAAAGCAAGTTAAATAATAAATATATACCCAAACTAGAGAAAGGTTAGTAATGAGTTATTTATGATTTGGCTTCTTCAAAAATTGTCTTCAAAATATAAGAAAATATTGACTCAACGAATGTGAATATACAGGGTATTATCATTTCAGTCAGAAGCTTAAAACGTAGTGAAGGAGACATTTCCGACCCTATAAATCATATATATTCTTGATCAGCATGAACAGCCGAATTGATCTAGCTATTTCCCACAAAAATGTAATTTTTTTTAAATTTTCACAATTTTTAAGAGCTAAAATTTTGTAAATTGAATATTGAAAAATTGATAAAATTTCGAATTTCATAAAATGCTAAATTGAGTATGCAGATTTATTAATCTAGTAAAAACTAATATGGGACAGCTTTCCGAATTAATATTAATTAATTTTGGCTAAGTTATGAGTTTTTTAATTTTTAATATATCGATAAAATTGTCATATTACAATATAGATAAAATCGGGTCAAAAAAGGGTATTATACCTTTGTTCAGAAGCTTAAAAAATATAAAAGGAGTCATTTCCGACCCTATAAATCATATATATTCTTGATCAGCATGAAAAACTGAGTCGATCTAGCTATCTCCGACAAAATTTAATTTTTGAATAATTTTCGCAATTTTTTAAGGGGTAAAATATTGCAAATTGAATATTGAAAAATTGATAAAAATTCGATTTTCATAAAATTCTAAACTGAGTATGCAGATTTGTTAATCTAGTAACAACTAACATGGGACAGTTTACCGAATAAAAATTAATTAATTTTTGGCTCAGTAATGAGTTTTATAATTTTTAATATATCGATTAAATTGTCATATTAAAATATAGATAAAATGAGTCAAAAAATGTTATTATCCTTTAATTCAGAAGAAAATTCCCTAAAGAGCTCCTAACAAAGATATTATTTAACATATATTCTCCGATATATGTTTATCTTCCCAGTTAATTAATAATAAAGCATAAACAAAATGGAAAATTGCTTAATTTAATCTAGAGAACAGCAGCACAAAGTGCATTCACCGAGCTGGCTTTTGAATTTTCACAATTTTCACAGGACACAGTTTTCGTGAGGCGAAGGTGAGACGCACTGGGGGTGGTGGCGCAGTGGTGGGTGGGGGTGGTTTAGCTTAGGTCAGGTGTTAAAAGGGGGGCGGGGGTAAGGTGGTGGCTTCGGAGGGATGTTGCCCCATTCATCCTTTTTGAACAGCGAACTTACCTCATGCTTGCCAGAGTCCTGGCCCTGCTCGCTGTCGTCGCCTGGGGCGCCACCCGCGCCTGCCATCGAGTTCTTGTTCAGGACATACCTGTAAGTTGAGAAGGACACTGGTAAAAAATGTGTGGACATCAATTTACTTACTATATTGTACTGTTGGGATGATTTCTTTCTTTCTTTCAAGTTATATTACAAAACCTGAGTCACAAATATTTCCAAACCTTGATTTGTATCAATTTTCCCGCAGTGTAAGTGAGTATGAGACGAGCACTGCGGCTGCTGTAGGTGCCAAAGTTGTTAAGGAGCCGAGCTGAGCTCCAGAGGCTCTCTCACACACACACAGCCTTCCCAGAGAGAGAGAGAGAGAGAGTTTCAAAATCCAATGCATTTCTAATGATGCCGCGACTCAAATTAACATTTTGTTGCCTACTTTGCGGCTGACTGCAATTACCCAGACGATGCCCTCAGTTTCCGGAAGTGTGTGTGTGATGGTTACAAGGAGCTCAGTGCTGTGTATAGCCTCCCAAGTGAGCGCAATTCGATTAAAATTCAATCTATACTTTATGGTTTTTAATTGAAAACCGAGGGTACCAGTTTATGCTGAAGAAATTAGTAAGAAAAAGGGTCGCAAAACTATTTAAAAATTCATTTCACTATACGCTTCCTTGTTTATTTTCGCTACTTTACGCAAATACCCAAGACTTTAGATTATATGGAATGAGTAAAAATTCAAGGAAACACATAACAAATGATTTTCTAGGAAATCACCCGGCTTCATTATAATTCTTCTGCTGCCGGAATGTCCTCGTTTCCCTAGGCCTCTGCCATAAGAATAATGTTTGCCTCTCAAGTATCTCGTATCCCCTCCCCTCTACATCGACAATGGAAATTACAATGAATTTTGCGCCATAAATATTAAACATTTCCATGGGAAAGTTGGTCGCAACTCGCGAGGGCGAGTGTATAGGCATTTTGTCGTTGCCAGGACATGCTCCTGCGACCCTGCGACCTGGGTCCTGTGTCGTAACTCTCGTAATGCTATTGGCACTCAACAAATTTCGAGTTGGGAAGCCGCCGAAACGAGCCACACGCACAACTAATTTCTCGTCTCAAGAGTTTATTGTGCAATTTCCTCCCAGACACTCGCCCAAAACTCTGGCACACACTCAATGAGCTCGGTGTCCTTAGTGCCCAGCCCAGAAAGGACGAAGAATAAGGCAAATAAATTGTGTGTGTGTGTTTCCCTTTTTATTTTGACTCTAGTCCCGGGATGAGGGATGAGGGGAGGTGGCAACGTTTGCGGTTGCCATTTTCCGTTTTATGCGTTTTTCCGGCGGCCTCCTGTCCTGGGGATCACCTTCTTAAAACAGCTGCCTTGTTAGCTGCCTGGCATCTACATCATCTGAGGATGTGAGGGGAATGTGACTTCCGTTTTCCGGCCGCCTTGATTTGTTGCGCCTTTCGGTTTCCTTGGCAGACGTCGCGAGGTCGCTCCCTCTCAGATTTTACTTCATCTTCATCCTGCTGAATGCTGTCCGCTTTCTACTTTCATGTTGTTTGGCATTTAGTGCCCAGTAAGGATGTGAGTACACTGCGAGAATTAAGTACTGCAAACTCTTGGGAAAATTAACCTTAAGAGCTTTGCTAAAGAATAACTTCATGTCTTAAATGAGTTAAGTCCTAAGCCCATTTTGTGCCGTGTATTTATATACTTGTATATGTATTTCTATATAAAATATATCCCCGCAGAAGCCCCATCAGCTTTCAGCGAAATTCGGTGGCGTGGCCAAGATTTATGTATGGGCCAGAGACTGCGGGCGATAAAGGATGTGTGCGCCCAAGGACCTGCTCCTCCATTCACTCTGCCGTCACAAATTTGTCAATGTTTTGTTGCTATTCCTGCCCTTGCTGACTGTCTGTTTGTCGCCGGCGAATGCGAATGCGAATGCGAAATAAAATGCCACGAATGAGGCTGATAAATGCGATTTGCCACGCCCTGCCAGCAAATGGGGGGAAGGATGTGGGCGGGAAAAGAGGAAAGAAAAGGAGTTGGAGGTCAGGTGGTGGCGGCAAATTGCTTTAGATTGAGTGCATTTTGTGGAATACCATGCGTGGGTTGGGTTTGGGTTGGGTTGCCCTGAAAAGTAGGCAACAAATATTCACCTCCCCCGAAAAAAGCAGCAGCATCCTTGAAGGGCTGCGGTTGCCAGGGTGGCCCTTTTCTGGCTTGTGCTTTAAGGTGGCTCATCCCTCCCTATACTTTTCATCCCTTCCTTCCCCATATTGTGTGTGTGCCTGGCAATTTCCCGCAATTATTTTTGATTTGTGTGGAACATGGCCGACGTCTAAGCTGATTAAGCGCCACACGAGGCGGAACCAATTAGCCAGGGACCACTGTCTAAGAATCCTTGCTCCTAATTAAGAGACGGAGCTCGATAACTATCACAAGGATTAAATAGAATAAGATGCCCAAGAAGTTTTAAAGTTCGGCTGGAACTACATATATAAGGAAGAAAGGAAGGAAGGATAATAATAATACTCACTTGATGGCGCAGTACATGGACACCAATAGAGCCGAGGGCAGGATGACTATAATCAGACCCATGGATACGGCAAATAGATTAAAGAAACCTGCAAAGGGAAAGAGATCATCACAATGGGATCCTTGGAGATAGTTTTCCAAGCCAACTCACCATCATAGTCAGCCAGTGGATCCTCCGACAGAGCTGTGGCATTCGAGGATCTGCCACTAGCCAGCAGCGGGGCCATGGCCGAGGCAGAACCCGAACCCGAACCAGAACCAGAACCCGATCCTGAACCGGAATCTAATCTCTGGAGGAGCGTGGCATTCACCATTTCGGCCACCGGCAACTGCTCCCGATGCAGATGACTGGCCGAGTGGCGGCTGGGCAGATGACTCAATCCAGAGCCAGATCCCACCTGCTGCTGCTGCTGCTGATGCTGTCGGTGGGCAGGACTGTCGAAGGGATATGAACCCTCGACGCCATCAAAGCCTCCGCCAGCACCGTCATCAATCAAATCCCCGCCGTACTGAATGGAGCTCTCGATCACATCCGGTTCGCTGTCGATGCTATTGCCTTGGAGGTCATTCTCGTAGACACCCATGCCCAGTTCGCCGGGCATGTAGTCGATCTCCTTGAGCTCGATCTGTGGCGGCAGCTCACCAATTACGGGCACCCCAATGGCCAGATCTGGAAGCACTGCCGGCTGGATAACTATATCCTGCTGCTGCTGCTGCTGCTGCTGCTGCTGAAGAGGCGACGATGTCGAAGAGCTGCCGCTCCAGCCCAGAGCCGGCTGTTGCTCCACCTCAATGACCGATTCGCCCACATAGGTGACGTCCAGCGGTGGAGCACCATCATCCGAGCGATAGATCTTTAGGGAATCGGAGCTGTGGTGCGGCGACAGGATAATGTCCTCCTCCTGTGCCGAAGCTGCCGCCGAAGAGGATCGCTGTGACTGATCCATCACGTAGCTGGCGGGGAAGAACTGGTTCTCCAGCTGGAACTTGCGCTGCTGGTCGCCACCTCCGCCTCCGCCAGTGTTGGGACCCAAGGTGGGCAGGCTCTCACCCACTTTCACCTCCGTGTTGGAGATGTAGAAAATTGTGTCCGAGTCGCGGTCGATGCTCGGTTTCCTGGGCAGCGGCGGCGGCGGAGGAGGTGGCGGTGGCCGCGGCACCGATCCAGCACCACCCTCCTTGAGATCCTTTAGATCGGCCATGAACAGCTCGTCCGCGTCCTGGACGGAGGACTGCTGCGGCGGACGCACCGCTGGCGGGACACCAGCCACCGCATCCGAGTTGCGGAAGGTGAAAATTGGATCGGAGGAACCAGATGAAGAGGAGGATGGTGCTGATGATCCTCCTCCTGATTCCTGACTGCTGTTATCCGCCCCGCTGTCAATGATCTCCACCACCAGAATCTCATCGCTCAGCTTGCTGGGCTTCTCGGGCTGCCTGTAGGAGAACTCTAGATCCTCACTCTCACTGCCAAAGGCCTCGGACACATTGATGTGGATCTCAATGGCCGCCGGCTCCGGCTGGCCGAGAGGGGAAGACAAGCCTCCACTTCCGCCGCCTCCAGAAGCCGGCTGAGTGGACACATCCGCTCGATCAATCACATACTGGGTGAACCTCTCCTGGGGCAGCTCCTGTCGTGGTTGCACCGCCTCTGGTCGGGAGGTGACCACCTCCAGGGGCGGCACTGGCGGCGGGTAGAAGCCCTCGCTGTCGCGGAAATTTGTCGAGGCCACAATCGAATCCACCGTGGAGTCGTAGACCTCGATCTGAATGTCGGAGATCTTGGACTCGGTTCGCTCGCCGCTGAGGGGCAGGCGAGTGGTGCTGGTCTGTAGCTCTGGCACCTGGAACACTGTGGTGGACACTGAACTGGCTTCACCTAATCCTGGTCCCTGTCCCTGAACCTTTTCCACTGCCGGAGGAGCTGTGCTCGTGCTTGTGTCGAGGGTTACCTGCTGCTCTAGCAGAGCCGTCGGTGCCAGAATCTCCACCAGCTGTCCGTTCCTCAGCTGGCTCTCAATGGAGGCCACATGCTGATGGCTCCTGCTTGCCGGCTGTGGCTTCTTCAGCGGATGCACCACACTGAAGGTCTTCTCCCCCATGAAAATGGGTCCCAGATAGCCGCTGTGGTGGCTGTGCGGTGACTTGGTAGAAGTGGTGGTGGTGGTGCTAGTGGTGCTAGTGGTGGGTATTCTCTCCATTTCCGTCTCTAGGTTCCTGGGCGTCATGGTAGGGGGGAAATGCTGCTGCTGCAGCTGTTTCTTGCGGGTGAGCTTCAGGCCATCGTGTCCACTGTCCAGAGACGGAGGAGGAGCTGCCGTGTGCTCCAGATCGAGCAGCTGCATCGCTGGAAGCTGTCTAGCTGGATGGTCTGTCTGGGTTCCTGGAATCGCCCTCTGAGTGGTGGCATTGCTCGTGGTTTCCGGTGGTTTTTCAGTGGAGCTTCTGAAGGAGTTGCTCATGGTTGAGGTGCTACTTCCTTCAGTGGTGCTTCCCTCGGGGAAGGCCTCCTCTGTGGGGTTTGTTTCCATGCTGCTCTTTGCAGAGAAACTGCTCACAGGAGTACTGACCTCTAGAGTCTTGATCAGTTCACTTTTGTCCTCTGTGATATCCTTTATCCTTTCTGTGCTGCTACTCTCAGTAGTGCTCTCCAGAGAGCTACTGCTACTGGTGGTGGGCCTCGGTGAGGTGCTTCCTAATCCTGGCGAAGCTGCTTCGGTGGTTAATCTCTTAGTAACCAGTGGAGCATCCACCAGGGTGGGTGTATCACCCTGCACACCAATCTCCAGGTGGTGATGCTGGTGATGACTTCCCCCAGCGGCGGCGGGAGCTGCCCAGCCGCCATTGGCCAGCAGGAAGAGCAGCCAAAAGGCGTTCATTTTGGCCACGCCTCTTTCGAGCTTAGTAAGAGATAATCTGGAGGATTTCTTGGGTAATATATATAGAGTTTTGATTCTGCAGAGGAGAGAGAAGAGAGCGTAGAGTCCTGGCTACTGTATGTCCTTGTGCAATTCGCTCCTCGTGGATAGGTCCCCTGTGTTGTGGCCTTTGGCACTTAGTTGAATCCTTTGTGGTTGGCACTCTGCATCGGCAGCATCTTCGTCTGCAGCATCATCTGCCGCAGCATCATCATCATCAGAATCATCAGAATCATTGGAATGTGGAGCAGCTTGCGCCGCAGATGTTGCAGGTTGCATTCATTTGTGCCGCACTGTTGCAGTTGCAACTGCCACTGCTATTGCTGCTGCTGCTGTTGCAGCCATTTCCCTCTATGTCCTTATAGTTATGTTCCTGCTTTTATTATTATTATTATTTGTTCACGTTTTAATGGCTTGTATCCTTGCGGAGTGCAGCTGCTGCTCCTTCGATCTGCGCTTCGGAATGAAATGGAAATTTAAAACAATGAAACTAATGAAGCAACTCGGAAGCGGCAAGTGTTGCAAAAATGGGGAAAAGAATGCAAAATAAAGGAAAATAAAAGAGGGAGGAAAGGATAATAATAAAGGCAAATGACTGAAATAAAATATGCAAAAAAAAATAATATAGAGGCAGAGGAAAACGGAATAAAAATCCTGTCCTTGAACAGCAGTGTTTATTGAACATTTCTCTAGAGTTTTCCTTCTGAGAGTTTCGCTTCCCTTGGTAGTTTTGCACAGATTGCACACAGCTTTCGCGAGAGAAGAGAACTGAAGGACTCAGGACTCTCTACATCTATCTTTCAACCACAAAACTGTGGCCCCTTTTCCCTTTCTTTAATTTAGTCAACTTTCGAAACCCAAATATGCAGCGCCCAGGACCTCAGGATGAGGGATGAGCGCTCCTTTGAACCCTTGGCTGTGGCCAAAAAGCATGCAAATTAAATATAAAGCCTCACAAAATGATTCGATTTCCCCCTGTGTGTGTGTGTGTGTGTGTGTGTGTGTGTGTGTGTGTGGGGAAAAAAGGTCGCTCTGGGCCTTAGAAAATGGGCCAAAAACCGCAGGCACAGGCACAAGGCTTTTCAATTCGCTCATCATCATCGTGGTCATCGTAACAAGTTGCTTATCATCGCCCAGTTTTTCTCCTTCTCTTGACCCCTTCATTTACCAACTATTGTTGAAAATAAAAAAAAAATATAAAAACAAAATAAAACATCAAAGGGCGCAACGGAAAAAGGGAAAAGTTTTGCGGCGAAGGGAAACACAAATACCAACGAATCGGCGCCACATAAAAGCGGAAGCGGAATAAAGGCGTTGATAATGGCCAGACCGTAATGATATGGCAGGGAAATCTATAAATACACAAAAACACCTCCACAAAGGAGGGGAAAATAAGAACAAATAAATAAAGATCTAGGATGGTTTGGTTGGTTTAAGAAATACAAAACACTTTTTAATTGTAATAAAAAAGATTCCAAAAGGTTACTTCACTCAAAACTTTAAAAGTTTCTTTAAAAATTGTTATTTTATAATAATTTTTTTATTAGAGAAGATTAAACAAAGGCCTTAACATTATTATGCAAGTTTTAGATATAGGTGTAAATGGGTTCTTTAAGTCAAAATTCTTAAGTTTCTCTCAGACTAAACAAATATGCACTTTATAATTTGGCACTCTATTTAATTGTTTATAATTTTATTAATTTATTAAAATATATCTATATAAATGCAGAAAATTCCATTTTATGGCATACAATTTAATGGCAATCACTTTAAAACGTTTTTACTAGTTACATATTACACATTAAATTAAAGTTCTTTTCCTATCCGGGATTTCTGTTTAACAAATTTAATTTATTAATTACATTGAAATTATGTATAGTTACTTTTTTATATATTCAAGAATTAAAAATAAATTTGGTTCGCAACATAAAAACAAACGCAAGAAATAAATTAAATCACAATCAATTACCATGAAATAGTTATTGGAGGAAATTATTCCATTAAATGGATTTAAAAAGAAGAAATTTTAAAGAAGTAAGAAAATGATGAAAATATATAGTAATATCTATGAAATAATAAATAAAAGAAAGAATGCACTTGTCTTTGACAGACGATAAAGTATTTACATTAAAATACAAATTTTTTAAAACGGTTAAATTATATTGGTATTTTATTATTATATTTTGAATTTTTAAATTAATGGATTAAAGGTTTAACTATGAAATGAAACAAAATCACCAACAAAGTGTTTAAACGCTTACAGTTTGTTTTATAATTAATATTTTTGGGGCATTTCCCATTTGTTTGTAGTTTTTATGTAAACTCACCGGTGCTCCTTCGATTCCAAATCCTTAATCTTAATTCGCCCCGCAAGGTAATCCAAGGGTCCTTGCAGAGCCCTAAACTCCGGCACACTCGCGCCTCTTGTTTTTTAAAGCAAATACTCTTTTGTTTTTAATTTTTGGAAAATTCACCCCACTCGTTTTTAACTGCGAGTGTCTTTGATTTGCACCAAGACAGTATGCTTATTTTTTGTTTTTATTACGTTTGGTATGTTCACTGCAAAAAAAGGTGAAGGTAAAGGAACAAACAGCATAGAAAACCGGAGAGCAACACTGAGAGAAACCGGAAGCAGAGCTCGTGTGTAAAGAAACGCCCCGCAAAAAGGCGCCAAATTCTTGGGTGAATTTCGCAGGGAAACGGGAATAAGGCGATGAAAGGGATGTGGCGGGATAAGGAACGGTAAATGGGACGTAAAGGACTCACAACACTGCTCTTTATCCTATATCCTATTTGGTATTTTGATTTCTTTGAGGCTGTGTTTCTCTGGCGACCGCTGTTTCTACTGCTGCCACTTTGCTGTTGCTTTTCCGCTGCTGCGTCCTATTGCTCCGAAAACCCACGCAAACTGCGCAAAACTCGAGCATCCTTTGACTTAAAGGACTCGGCACATTAGAGGTGGAGAATCATCGATGTTCGCAGACATCGATGCTTCCGATAGAGCATCGATGTTTTGCATTAAAATGGGGAATATTTTTGTATTGCCTTCAAATAAATTGAAAATAATTCAATTGCTGTGTGTAAGTGAAGAGGTTTTATGTTTCATTTTACATATTTAACGATGTTGTGCGAAATTCGCATAACTTTTGCATTAATTTTGTTTCACAACCGATAGTCAGCCAGTGTTGGCAAAGACACGGGTGTGGCAGTGGAGAGTTTTGTCAGCTGTGCAGCTTTCTAGGCAGGTGGTTCGTAGCCCGGCTAAGTTTGGCCTTGCCAGACTGTCGGACGGGAGAAAGCTTTTCGTGGAGAGTTGCGAGAGGAGAGTGTTGTTGCCAGATCGTCGTTTAAAAGCTTACAGTGACTTCTCGGTAAAGTGGAAGTCTAAAAATTCTGTTGAACTCTTTTATTTTGTTTTATTTCTTTTGTGTTGTTTGATTTATTTTGAAACAAGAAAGAATCGAGTTTGAATTCAATTCATAACTACATAACTACTTAAAATATTCACATTCTTTTTATATGACAATTTATAAAGAAAAATGTACTTAGGATGCAGATTTATTTGACTAATAAAAACTAACTCGGAATAAAAGTAAGACTATTTGAAATTAGTGTTCAAAGGGTATACAGACATCGAATTTCCTTTGAATTTAGCTTCGGCTCAGTTGTTCTGTCTGCCAAATCTTTTTCACATTTATTTTGATCATGCAATACGCACGATAATTCGCATAAATAACTAATGCCAGTTGGCCAGATTATGTAAGCATTTCTCCTCTTTCCTTCTGGCTCTTTCTTCTGTGGAATTGTCTACGCGGTGGAATTCGAGGCGAGTCCCCTCGGGCGACACTCCCAAAACGACTTGGTTTTTGGGATTTCAGCTGGACTCTTGGTCTTGGTCTCCCCATTTGATGCGTTGCACATTAAATTTAAGCCTGACTTCGCCTTTGGAACGGACATCTGTCAATTCTATAGTCTTGGGGTATTATATCTTGAATACACTGCAGGCAATATTTGTACATATATAATACTTTCTAAATGGTTTTTTATAGGGGAAAATGCACAATTCAATTAATTAAATCAGGAGAATAAATAAATAATATTTGGTATATTACAGAACATATAGAGTTGGTTTACTTCATTAATTATTAAACATGTTAACAATACATAAATATACATTACTTTATTTTATATACTCTCTTTGAGGTATTATTTATCTTATTGCTTACTTATTTCTCTTAGTGCACTTGTCAAAATCTGTGACAAAAGCTGTACATTTTTGGCAAAATCGTTTGCATTTTTTGACAAATTAATAGGGCGCACACCTGGCACACACCCACCATACACCTGGAGAACTTAATTGAATTTGGAAGAGAGACAGACTTGCCTTGCTCATTGGCCAAACTCCAATTGTTGACCTCAAAGAGATCCATTTGGATGGCGGGGGTTTGTTTTGTTTTGTTTTTTGTGGCCCTTTTATGGATTTCGGCATTCGGCGGAACGCTTTCTTTGCCGTGAATCGAATGGAATCAGTACGCAGCGAGGCCGTTCGCATTTATCGAGCGTAATGAGCACGCAGCCGAAGACGAAGTCATCTCGGATTCAGACCCATTAACACACAAATCCACAGCGTGGAGTTGAAGATGAAGTTGAAGTGCGATTGAGACCTAAAATGCGTGAGACTTCTGACCTTTTGCCTTTGCCTGCATATCTCAATAGAGTAAACGGGGGAAATCTGGGTATTATAATTTCAGTCAGAAGCTTGAAAAGTATAGAAGGAATCATTTCCGACCCTATAAATCATATATATTCTTGATCAGCATGAAAAGCCGAATCGATCTAGCTATTTCTCACACAAATTTAATTTTTTTTAATTTTCACAATTTTCATGGTCTTAAATTTTGTAAATTGAATATTGAAAAATTGATAAAATTTCAAATTTCATAAAATTCTAAATTGAGTATGCAGATTTATTAATCTCGTAAAAACTAACACAGAACAGCTTTCCGAATTAAAATTAATGAATTTTTGACTAAGTTATGAGTTTTTAAATTTTTAATATATCGATAAAATTGTCTTATAAAAACATAGATACAATCAAGTCAAAAAATGGTATTATACTTTCAGTCAGAAGCTTAAAAAATGTGGAAGGAGTCATTTCCGACCCTATAAATTATATATATTCTTGATCAGCATGAAAAACTGAGTCGATCTAGCTATCTCCGACAAAAATTTAATTTTTTTAATAATTTTCGCAATTTTTTAAGGGGTAAAATTGTGCAAATTGAATATTGAAAAATTGATAAAAATTTGAATTCCATAAAATTCTAAATTAAGTATGCAGATTAAATAAACTGGTAAAAACTAGCATAGAACAACTTACCGAATTAAAATTAATCTATTTTTGACTAAGTTATGAGTTTTTAAATTTTTAATATATCGATAAAATTGTCTTATAAAAACATAGATAAAATCAAGTCAAAAAATGGTATTATACTTTCAGTCAGAAGCTTAAAAATATGGAAGGAGTCATTTCCGACCCTATAATCCATATATATTCTTGATCAGCATCAACAGCCGAATCAATCTAGCTATCTCCGACAAAAATTTAATTTTTTCAAAATTTTCACAATTTTATAAAGGTTAAATTTTATGAATTTTGATAAAAATTCAAATTTCAAAAAATTCAAAATTGAGTATGTAGATTTTTTAACCTAGTAAAAACTAGTATAAGAATACTTTTCGAATTAAATTTAAGGCATTTTTAGCCGAGTTATGATCGATTTTCCCAGCAAGGGTATACAATTTTTGGGGTTTTCCGAAATGAGCTTTCTTTCTTGTTATTAATAAATAATAAATCATAATTGGCATCTCTGAAGATCGAATGCATTTCGGGGTTAATGTGGCATCAAACTGCAAAACTGCAAAACTGCAAACTGATATTAACTTGGCTATCTTGGCCCGTCGGCCATCGCATCGTCGCATCTTAACGGCTTATTTTAATTTTGTGTGCCGTTTGGCCTATGGAAATGCAATCGATCCGCTGCTGGCGGCGGCAACAACAGTTGGCAATTGGCAAAATTGGCAGCTGACAGTTGGCCATTTGGCCATTTGGCCGCCCATGGCCATGACTGCGCCTGGCGTCGGCTTAAATGCTCAGCCTTTCCGTGCCTGGAATGCCGGCAAATATCGTCTCACTCAATCCGCTTGGCCAAGAGACTGTTAGCCAATCAATGCACGAGGCCAATAGCAGAAACTGAACCTGTAAAGAAGCCAACCTCCTGCAGGGAATTATGGCCAAGTCTGGAGGCCAAAGCCAAAGTCCAGCTAGCTGTGACTTGAGTTTTGAGGGGATTCAAGAAAATATGCAAAAGAACTTAGGAATCAGGAACAAAGTTAATAATAGGAAAATAGATAAGAGATTTAATTAAACTATTGCATTGTAATATGTTTATTATCTATATATGCACAGCCTCGAAAAGGTCTTTGTAGATTATGTCCAAACAATCGCATCTCTTTTATCCAAAATCATCTCAAAGAAACATCTTGAAATCTCTGAATCTTTTCCATTTCGAATCCAAATCGCAACGCAAGACTTATGCAATCCAGATGCTTATCATTGGAATTGTAAAATATCCGGGGATATATGTTATCTTCTGCTAAAGTTTTATGTATGAGAAATATTTTTGGGGATCGATAACACACCCAGAGAGACTGAAAACTTTCGCATTTTTTTCGGGTGTTGTTAACTGATTCACAAGCCAAGTTAAGGGGAGGCGTTGGCCGGTGGTCAACCGAGGAGGGCGTGGCAGATTGAATCATCAATGGCCGCGAAAGCATTTCACTTTCGCTTCTTGTCATCGCACAATTTCTTTTCATGCCTGAGTTTCTGTTTATTCGGTGTCTTGTGTTTTTTGTTTTTCTGGTTCGTATTTCGTATTTCTTTATTTTTTCTCCTACCAAAAATTTCACTTTCTTTTGAGTCATCCTCGTTGGACCTGCGGCTTCTTTACGACTCCATTTACGTGGGTGACAACGATTGCAGCATCGCCTCAGGTCCACAGCCTCCTCCGCAGACAATGGACCCGCTCTGTTCCGAGTTTCATCATCATCCGTCGCAACAATTAATGTGCATTATTGTCGGGGAGCGGAGCTCGGAGCTCGGAGACCGAAGACCGAGTTTATTTATTTGTTACAGTAGAAATTGTTAAGCAAATATTTTTCTTTTTCCTTTTCTTTCGCCCCCCAAAAAACAAAAATAAAACCTGTCGCGAGAAAATTGTGTTGTGCTGCGTATTTGCACAGTTGCTGTTGGTTTCGGTTTCATTTCGGTTTCATAAAAATACAAATTAAGGAGGGGAAAAATATGCAGCAACTTTCTTTCATCCGCTCCTCGATTCTGGCCAAAACCAACCTCGGGTTCTCAGTCACGTTCCTTGGCCTGCCCTGAATTTGCCCAGAGTTCATTTGCCGCAATTGTTTGGTGTGGTATATAGGTATTGATTTAATTAATATTTAGTTCCTTCTATAAATCCAATTGCAATTTTCTGGCCCAATCAACGCTCAACGCGTTGAGGCCAAGTTGGGCAGAGGTTTTGTGTGTGCCCAGAAATCATAATTCGCTAATAAATTTTTACACTTCCCTGTCTCAATGCGTCGTCGCTGGCAGGTTGAGCGTTTGTGCCGAGTGAAAGTGGCCCCGAATCCTCATCGAAAACTACAAAAATTCCCCAGTGTCTTCCGTTCGTCCGCTGACCTCTTTCGAGTAGCCCTAAAAGTCAAACATTCCGCCAAAAAATAAGAAAACATAAAATACCTGTGCGTAATTGAATTTATGAGGGGGAAATAATACATAGGTTTCTTGGCAGAAAGCACACGAAAATTATTAT